CCTTAGTTCAGTCTTCACAATAAGAGAGACCGAGATCGTCTGCTGAAGGAACGGAGAAATATAGAAAACAATGGTCATTCGATCAAAGGAACCATTAGACCTGTGATTTGAACCAGTAAAAACCTGACCCTGTCGTATCCCAACACGTCGCTCTGTGAATTTAATGCTACCATTACTGTACCATTCAAAACGGGTGACTCATATACTGTATACTGTACTGTTGATGTTTATAGTGTTTATTATCTTTTCAACACAACTATATCCCAGTCTGTTTACAGGTGTGTGGAGTTAAGATTGTGTTGGAATAACAAAGCCCAATCCACATTGAAGTTTTTTTGGTACAATTTTATATAATAATAATAATAATATTAATAATAATAATAATAATAATAATAATATATACAAAATTATAAATATATATAATATATATTTATTTCTTCTTCTTTTACCAAACCTGTGGTACACACCTACACCTCCCATGCCCACCATTTCACACATTCCCTGTCTTTCTAGTGTTTGCTGTCCCTGCATGTGGGTGGGAGCAATCAGGTGGAAAATGGTTCCGTGTCAGTTTGTAGCCATGTCCAAACTAAGGTGGCATGTGGACAGGCCCATTCCAGGAATGCAAATAAATGGAGATATAAAAAAAGTTATCAAAACACAACTGACATCTGACAATTGCTTGTCTCAGGGAGCCTTTTCATTTCAGTTCCTGGTGTATTAAAAATTAATGGATTTTGCGTCGACTCTGCATGCTGTCAGGTTTGATGCATCTGCCCCGGAATGAAGTGCTACGTGTGTTGTAGGATGCAGAACATGCATATATAGTGATTTTTTTCTGTCTGTTATTGATTTGTTTCTTTGTCTTTATCTGTTATAACTCCCCTCTCCAGAACTTTTGCTTGACAGTAAAGGGAATATTCTTTTTACTATTCCACTCCTGTGTCAGGATACATACTCTATATTTGATTCTCTTTTTTTAACTTTTTCACGATTCTATCACTTTGTGCCTGCTGGCAGTTGGGAGGGACATTTGGTCGAAGCAGTGAGTGTTCAGAAAGCATGGACAGCTGCATCCAACGATAAAAGATGCCTGCTAGGCCGCTGGGTGCATTTCAAATGCGGAGTGATGTTCCAGGCAACACACAAGAAAAGTTTGCTTCTTACGGACTCATTAGAAAAGCTTGAGTCTGGTGCACTGCTGCCTAAGAGGCCTGTCAACGGATACGCAGCTTACACACGTAGGAGTACAAACTGGCTTTAAAGAATACTATGAGTGGGAAACCTGAGCTAGTACTGGTACTTGTTTTTTTTAAATGAGATATCCAGCTAACTTTACTTTATTTTTTCTCTTTAAAACTTGCACATTTCTTTGATACTTGTTGTTATTTATGAGTCTATGGCTGTGGTGCGGTCCTGCCATCTATACTGCTGTCTTTTTTCAAAAGACACACAGTACTAAGTAAGAGATTACCGGGGGTGAAGTATTCTAAAGAAAAAGAAAAATACTCTGTCTAGTCAAACTCAGAGCCAGTCAAAGTAATGTCAGCATGTCTCCTGAAACCAAAATAAAACCATAATACAAAAGTGAAAATAGAAAAGCTTGTGGAAAAGTGTAAAAAATAAATCATTGATGTCCTGCAATTTGCTAACTGCAGGTCAAAAATATTGTTACCACCTTTCTTTACAGCACGGGAATTGGTCCAGAGAGAGAAACCCAGATGGTTTATGCTTTCAGCCAACACAGTATTTCAAAGTAATGTGGAAGTTTTCCTGACTTTTTCACCTTAACATCATTTGTGGAGATATTAACAAAGTCAGAGGATGGAAGAACAGAGGTTCAATATAGCACTTTTTATGATCAACAGTGTCATCAGGAAAGTACCTCAGTACTTCTTACTGCATATGGCAGATTTATCAAGAAGACTGCCTAACCTTAG